TTTGGACTTATTTTTTCACGGAAATGTTTTTGTAATTACACAAAGTACTGAAAAAAGGTACCGTTGGGTACCGGCACCGAAATTCAGGTACTGATACCTGTACCTTACCGGTTAAAATGTGAACTGTACCCAACCCTATTTAAAATACGCTACCAGTCAAAGGTTTTTAATTTGAACAGTAAGCTTATTAATGTTTCAAAAAATTGTTAAAAACAGCGGAGTAGTATTTTTTCAGGTTTCTTTGATGAATAGAAAGTTCAGAAGAACAGCATTTTTATCTGAAATAGAAATCTTTTGTAACATTTAAAAAAACACATTAAAAATCTTAGTTCAAAAACTTTTGACTGGTAGTGTGTATTAAAATAGAAAACAGTTTTGTTCCTGTGATGCAAAGCTGAATTTTCAGCATCATTACTCCAGTCTTCAGTGTCACATGATCTTCAGAAATCATTCTAATATGCTGATTTGCAGCTCCAGAAACATTTCTGATTATTATCAATGTTGAAAACGGTTGTGCTGCTTCATATTTTTGTGGAAACTTTTTTTTCCCCCCAGGAATCTTTGAATACAGTTCAAAAGAGCAGCATTTTTGTGAAATGGAAATCTTTCGTAACAATATATCAACAATGTCTTTACTGCCACTTTTGATCAATTTAATGCATCTTTGCAGAATAGAGGCAATAATTTCCATCTTATTGAATGTTGCCCCGACTTTTATAGCCCACTTTTTCTTTTTTTCCAATAAAATTTTGGGTTTTTGGTCTGTGTAAACATGCTCCAGACGTTTTTGATCGCTGCATAGTGTCTTTAAGTTTATCATGTGAAAATGTTTCCACCCTTTTTTGTAGTTCCTCAGAAAATGTAACTTGAGTTGTGGTGCCTTTAGTAGCTACTGGAGCGTGCAGGAATTCAGTTAAACAGCTTATAAATCTGTTTTTAGATAGTCTGGTTAATTAAGTACTTGAGAAATGAAACCACATATTTTTCAACCCTAATAGTAATCTCAGTAGTGTTTTATATATATATATATATATATATAGCTCATCATCCATACATCTCCTCTACAGATACATGGTCAAACACAAGTCCCATCTGAGGTTCTGAGACCACTGACCATCCACCGGTCAGCATATCGAGACCGTCAAGATCTTCCCTCCCTCCAGAGACCTGTCAAAATGGACTACTAGACACCTGATCCTCTCAGCCTTCCTGAAAGCACTTTGGTATTCAGTCTGCTTCACCTTCTGCTGACACCAGTATGATTTGTTGTCTCTTCCTCCACCCGTAGATGAGCAGGTCAGGGCGGGCGAGAGGAAATTTGGATCTTTGGGTTGGTCCTTGTCATGTTTTCTCAGTAGATATGTATTTTTCAATTGTAAAGCAGTTGGTGATCAAGGCAGATTCAAAAGGAGATATTTGATAAATATCATGTTTTTTTGGTAAAACTTGAGAAAGCCATTGAAAATGGTGACTTGTTGATATGAATAAAATGACTGCTATGTCTAAATCTCGTTATGATAGATTCACTTTGTTCCTTTCTTTCTTTTTTGGCTTTTTCTGCCTTCTGTTCTATGAAGTGTAGAGTAGTGCATTGACGTTTACTGCACAAATGCGAATGGTAAATGTAAGTAAGATTAGAGGAAGGCCTTGTGTGGTTTAGGATGTGATGTCTTTGTTCAAAACCAGCAGGCATATGAATGACAAGAATTCTATGGTTATATAAAATCTGTACTTAAGATTGTTCATGGTGAATTTGCTCTCTAATTCTGCAGTATATTGGAGATTTTGTTCAAGTTTTACCCAGAAACCCAAGTACTGCTTGCATCTAGTAACTATTTTTGAAATGGAAATTGCAGTTGCTTCCATAAGGCAAAGTCCGTTATCTACAAGGGTACTTTTTTTTTTTTTTTTTTTTTTTGGATGGTTGGTTTTTGTATAAATGCGTTGAAAGTAATGTTTTTAAACATTTCTGTTGAATGTGGATTATTATAAAAAAAAATAATATTAAAAAGTATAAACGAATGGTGATGCATATTTTTCCCTCTTCGTTTCAGAAAAGCCTATGATAAGTAGGGATGTAATGATGATGCACCCCGATCTGGTTGAAAATGTGATGAGTTAAGTCGGTTGATAGGTTAAACAAATCGCGAAACAATTGGTGGAGGGGATTTAAATGAATGTATCTCTGAGAGTAACTTACTGTTTTCAGAAAAATATAGATGGCGTTTTCTTTTCGTCTTGCCTCTGTATAATGCAGTATTTATTAGCACAGTGTTGCTTTGTTTACAGTGGTAACCATGGATGAGCTGTATCACTGCTGTTCCATGAGCGCCACCTGCTGTCAGAAGTGTGAATCTGCGTCTCATACAGCCTGTCTGCTTTCATGTACAGTAGGTTTATATAGAGTCATTTCAAAAAGCTAAAGTTAGACCATTGTGTTTTTGCTTCAAATGTTGAAATTATACAATTGAATTTAAATCAAGAACACGGATGCAAAAGATATGCGAGGAGAAGAAAAGAGACAATGCGGCTTTGCAGCTCTGTATGCCAAGGAAGACGCAAACTGCACCCCCTCCACCTCCTCAGCAGACCTTTGCACAGGTTACAGCTCGCCCACCCCTCAGCTACTACAGCCTGCTACAGCTCAGACGGATCTGCCAGCCCCTCATCCTACCCAGGTGGTGAGGAGGAAGAAAAAGGCAGTTTGAAGGGATCTTCCTGAGTGAAGGGGGCTCACAGACCTCAACGACCCTCAGCTGTTCAGAGTTCAAGAGAGAACGAGTTCAGATGTTCTGTGGGGAAATCAGAGCCAAGTTGGGCCAAGGGATGCAGAGCAGTGAAGAGAACGAGAGACGGTGCAGTGGTGCTCACCCACCCACTAGTCACAAGCACTTTACATGCTCACAGTTCAATGAAGTTTTCACCGTTTCCCCAACAAATGTTGCAAAACACTTTATCAGAACACAGCATAACACCACCTCGGGTAGTCATCGCTCCTCTAAAGGTGGTGAGCCACGTAAACTCCGTCCGAGTGCTAAGTGTTCGCGCATGTGCAGTACAGGCCACAAACTCGTTTTCGACTGCCACACAATGGCGCCAGAACGCTGCAAGTAAACTTTTGGTGAGAATGCACACAGTCCCGTTGGGTGCTGAGAACGGTACAGTGTGATTACAGACTGCAGTTTGCCACTTCTCCCCCGCAGTTCAAAGGAATAATTTATTCTCCGGTGCGAGGAGGATTAGTACATGTTCTTCAGGAGGAGATTACCTCCCTGTTGAACAAAAGGCCAATAAGAGTGGTTCCACCCGAGGAAAGTCACAGTGGGTTTTACTCGAGATACTGCCTAGTCCCAAAAAAAAGGAACTCGAGCTCTCCATCCCATATTAGATCTTCGTGCATTGAACAAATACCTAAGGAAGTACGAGTTCAGAATGCTCACCCACTCTACACTTCTGAAGTTGGTGTGCCCAGGTGATTGGTTTACCTCAATTGACCTGAAGGATGCATATTTTCACATAAGAAGATATCCACCCCACAGGAAATTTCTGAGGTTTGCATTCCTTGGCGTGGCATACGAATATCCAGTTCTTCTCTTCGGCCTGTTCTGTCTCTCAGCCCGAGGGTGTTTGTGAAATGTACAGAAGAGGACAAAGGCATTTGTCTCGCTACTTACATAGACGATTGGCTAGTGACAGCTCAATCGGAGCACAAAGCGAGAGATCACACAGCTATGCTTCTAGAACATCTACAGAAACTGGGATTAAAATTAAACCGAAAAGAGTGTTAGTTCCCAGACAGTCAATAACGTATCTGGGATTGTCACTGGATTCAGTGACATTTCAGAGCACAACTGTCAGAGGAGAGAATAATCAAATTTACGCAATGCCTGGCTGAATTTCGGAGGGGAAACAGTATTGCCTTGTCCAAATACCCACACTTGCGGTCTTTGCACTTGATCACTTGACTACTTCTATGACGTATTTCCTGTATTTGGCCCAAGTGTTCAAGTGAGGATGAAGACCACAAGTGTATGTACAACTTTTCATTACCTGATGGGACACACTTGTAGTGTTGTAAAAACGCAAATTTTTATTTTCAATACTTTGCATTTTAAAATAAACTTCTAAATGTCTGTTCAGTAGTCCCTATAACAAAGATGACACAATTTAATTTCTGGTGCTTCGAAATTTTGTGATAAAAAAACAGTTGCAAATGATGTACAAAATAAATATACTCACCTTTGCACCAATAAAACGTGTAGCATTTTGTTTTACTACCAAATTATATGTAATATCTAATTATTATATTAATATTTAACTTACATTGGAAAGGTTTCCTTGACCTCTCGCGAGATCGCGGCAAAAAAAGTCTCACGATTTATTTCCAGAACATGATGCATGATGGGAAACACTAAGCCTCGAATAGCGCATAATTTTGACTCATTACTTTTATTGTCAATTATGATGTCATTTTAAACTCTCAAAGTTTTTTTGTCATGACATTATATCTCATAGTTGACTTAATATCTCATCATTTTGAACTTTTTACGTCATAATTCTGATTCATTAAAGCATGTTTTTTTCTCTTATGTGATAGAAACTAGTCCTGGACACTTCACACACTTGTCATTAAAAATTCCCCAGACACACTTAGTGGCACTATCTGCATATTAAAGTTTCAGCCTCATGTTTCATTGTGCTCCTTGCCGTTTGATGAGTTTTTTGTAGCTTCACAGAGGAACTGATGCACATGATCAGCAGTGTGACAGACTGTGGAGATCCACACGAGTCTAAGTGTTTTGAATTTGGTTTACTTTTATCTCTCCCTCTCTGTCTTTCTGAGCATTGAATGTGTAATGAACTTTGTTGAGGCTGTCAATTTTGTAGTTATGTTGTTTTTGCTTTATTTCAAGTTGGTTAGTGAACAGAAATCAGATGACACTTTTTATTGTTTATGATAGACCGATTATTTTCATGTTTAAATGTTTGATAATCACAGTAGTGCCTGTTTATGGCTTTCAGATGAATCTATAACTATGGGCAAAATTATCCTTTTTTGCTCCACAGAACAATAACAACATGGTTTTAGCAAATGAAATGATGACACAATTTTAATTTTGGAGTGAAATATTCCTTTAAGTGATTGTTAACATCCAATATTTTCATTTTCATAGATATTCAGAGATATTTTGTGGTCTTTGTAGGTGGATTACATTGGCGTTGTTCTGTCTTTTAAATGTAGAGACTTTACGTGCATTATTCTAAGCGATGTATAGGTACTGCGTTAAAGGTTTGCAGCTGGTCAGAAATGGCCTGATGCTGAAGAACAAGCTTTACTCATGTCACAGTGAAGATAAACAGCTGTTGTGAGTGTGATCTTCATTCACAGATGGGTCTTTGTGTTCCTCTCCCTTATTTGTGAATCACTCCTCCTGCTTTTCTTGATGTCAGTATGGTTGAGCTCTAATGAGAGAGGATCTTTACGGATTATGTACCTGAAACCAAATAAATACATACATAAAACTACAGCCACATAAGGTACTACTATTACCATTCAGGTGAATATCATGTTTTGGTGACATGACAAAAATGATGGATAATAAACAGAAATGTAATAAATAGAAATGAAATATGAAATTGTAAAAAAATGCACACACATATATACGTGTGTGTAAGTGTTTGATAAACTATGCATCACTATTGTGATCTAAATGGATTAATTTATTAAGTAATTAAAGAGATTAATCTAACTTAATCTTTTTTCATTATTTCAATCACAACTGCACCTGTTTTAGGCTATCCTTATAATTAATATGTAATACTAATTTAATTCTAAAGTATATAGATATGTGGTACTGGCTGTACAGGATTTAATTTGGTATGATTTGAATTATTTAAAAATTAAAAATAATAAAATTGTCTTTTAAAATGCAAAGCAACTCTTAAAAAAAAAAAAGGATTTATAATAATTAATAACATAAGAAATCACAATTTCTTAGTTTTTTTTTTTTCCAATACGACTTCCTTATGAAGTGCAATAGATTCAGCTTCACTTACACAATGTCATTCAGCTGCAGTTTTGTATCTGGTGACGGGTTGATTAAGGCGTATGAGTGACTGCTCTGGTTATTATTAATCTTATCTGGATTAAGAGACAAATGTTAATAATATAACAGCAATCTTCTTCTAGAGCATTTCAGTCATTAGAGTGTGTAATTCTACAGAACTCCAGAACTATGTCCTGGTAATGAGCCACTCAACTGAAAATGGCAGGCATAAAATCAAGTAATTTAAAAAAATATGTCTGAATGTCATTGCATTATATACAAAATATCTTATTTCAAACAATATATTGATTGTTTTAACACTTTAGCCTAACGTTAAAAAAAAAAATGATTGTGCTATCTTTAAAATAAATGTTACTTAGTTTGAAATATGAAATAATGCATAATACAATTTTAGTCAAATTGCCAATCTTTTTTTTTTTTCATTCTGCTGTCATTAGCAGGTGCGGCAAGGGGTTAATTGTGCACCCTGCTTCCAGAGTTCTTAAAATCTCTAAACTTTCTACATCCTAATTCATTCTGAAATGATTTCACGGTAATATTCGTCTCACCGAATCCGTGTGTGGAGAGTCCCAGGTTCTTCATGCGTTTCTTGACCAGCTCCGTGTCCTTTCCCTCCTCAAAGACTGAACCTTTGACATTTGGGATTGTGGAGTCTAGAGGGGAAAAAAACAAGGCTTGTCTTTCTTGTTATTTCCAACATATTGATATTTACAACACATCATTTAACCACTCAATCACAAGAACTTTTATTATTTAGTTAACTGCGTTTTTAGCTGTTACTGCATTTTTTTTTTTAAGGAATAATCCCAAAAAATTGTAACGAATCTAATTTAATTTTCTCAATTTTTGTTATATGTAACTATTT